CGCTAGCGATATGCTTAACACATGCAACCCTTGGTGAAAGCAGACTGTCCACAAGCAGAAGACAGCAGCAGGCCATGTTACTCAGCAAAGGACCAGGCAATGCTGCTGAGGCAACTCAACTGCACAACACCACCCTTTAAATAAACTGCGAGAACGACAGCGCAAGCAGATGGGCAGCATGGCTACAGTGCAGTGAAGCCCGAGGCACCAGCAACACAGCAGCCAAACTACACGGCACACAAGCAACGAATGAGGAAGGCTAGGCATGCGGATGGCCGGAAGGGCAGGAGGTCAGCGAAGCACAAGGCAACACCAACATCACAGCAATGTAGCGAAGCACAAGGCAACACCGGAATCACAGCTACGCCACAGAGTGACACAGAAGCTGCAAAGAACGACATGCGAAACAAGCAGGACAGGCAGCAAGGCAGCGGTGGAGCGCAGACAAGGCAGTCTACACAGCGAAGCACGAGGCAACACCGGCATCACAGCTACACCGCACAGTGACACAGCAGCTGCAAAGAACGACATGCGAAGCAAGCAGGACAGGCAGCAAGGCAGCGGCGGAGCGCAGAAAAGGCAGTCTACACATCCAACACGGAGCAAAGCCGCGCATTACCTACTCACATCACGAGCGAACCCCCAGGCTGTTGGTTCCCACCACCTGCTGAGCCACAGAGTCACTCCGATGGAAGTCTGTCATCCCCCAATAGACCGTATGCACCACACAGACATCACGAACAGGGCGGCTCCCAAAGAGTCCTGCGGGCACCCCAAACAATGGACCACCTACTGCTTAGCACTTCTTGAAGGTGCTCACTCAGATACACACAAAAAAAAAAATCCAGAAAGAGGAAAAACATACACAAAACTGATTGTGTGGGAGAAACAGAGCAGAAGAAGTGAAAAGTAGATTGTGTGGACGGCTGGGTCTGAGGCCGGGCATCCGGGTGTCCTGTCCATGGATTTCGTGGACCGTTGCATAGCTGCTATGCGAGCTTGGA